ACACAGAGCATACAAACCATACACACACACACCACATACACACACACACACACACACACACACACACACACACACACACACACACACACACACACATACAAACCATCTGATGTGGTACTTTGGTTTAATGTTATATATATATATATATATATATATATATATATATATATATATATATAGATTAAAGCAAAATACTACTGACTGACAAACTCATATTTTTTTATAGATTACGCAATAACATACTTTCGTACGCCCAGTGAAGCGAGCGGTTATCAGCTAATATAAAGTACTGGCTGATATCCGCTTGCTTCGCTTGGTGCACGATAAGAAACGATAATAAGGAGATATAAATATCAAAACTTTTTATGGGACTTTTGTAAAATTCGGTCTTAATAAGCGTGTCAATTGCAAAATGAGTAACTATACGAAATTTAAATTTAATTGGATGTAAAGTTTTAGAAATATCGTGATAAGTGAGTCAGTCAGCCGGTCGAATAAAAATTCTATATCCAGATACTAAAAATTATTTGAGGTTACTATAAATCTATGAACATGTCGACCTAATTAGAATATGTCCAATTGTCAGATCAATCGATTGACAAAAGTAATCAAGTGCCATTTGAATTATTCTAAATCATTTCAGGTCTAATTAAAAAGTATCATTATGACCCTCGTATTTATCACCAGATTATAACTATTTCCCGTTATGAAAAGGGTTTGCTGTAATGCTCATGCTTGATAGGTGGCTGACGATCGAAGCACCTAAAGGGTATTTTTGACATTGCTAGCCATTGCCGGTCTAGGTACGAGTATTTTAAGTCAGACTTAATCGAGATGGTTAAACCGCCATCTACCTGATGTTTGAGACATAAATTCATAAGTAGTAGAGCTTTGCTGCATATAGTCGCAGCACAAATAGCTTGGTCAGAATAGAGAAAGACCAAGCTCTCACAGAATACCAGTTTAAAATAATAATTTAATGCTACTTTGTTTCGTACGGCATTCCATCTGAATCCTAAGGGGTAGCAACATATTTGCGTTTCGATTAATTGACAATAGATGAAGATGTCCATGGATTATAGCATTTAATTACACCTGCTACTCATATTCTGTAAAAAAAACCACAGTAGAATTGGAATAACTAACATAATGCACTGATCAATAAGAATAAGTGACACAGGGCCGGCCATAAAGCTTGAAAAATTGACAACCGATGGAGAAGAAAGGCTCTCGTGTATTGTGTAAAAGTCCTTGTATTGGTAGGTTGATTGTGGGGACTAGAGTGACAACCTGGAAAAACATAAATTAAATTGTTTGATACAGGTAACAACGGACCGTGTTTTGGGAAATTCGTTGAAAGAATGCTTTATACAGCAGTAGACTTGAAAGGGCGTGACATGATGATAATGAAAAATTTTGGTTGATGTTTAATTTATGTAAAAAAATCTTGTAATCCCATTTTGGTGAGAGACTTATTGGCCTCATAATTATGTGGGACCTGAAACAAAAAAGTACATACGGGCTAGCCACCTATCACTTTCTTCACTTTTTTCATCTACCCAATAGCTATATACTTTTTTTACTAATAATCGGCCTCATTGAAAATACCTCGGGGATCATCCATAAATAATTTGTAAGTAGAAAGGATATATACATTATGCGAGTGCATGTATGCATGTTCTTAGGTATAATATGGAGGATTCTGTTGTATAGCTCTTTAATGATTCGTTTTATTTGACGGAAACTTAAATAACAATGGACGCTTAGTTCATATTCAAATGAGCATCCTTTCAGAGATGCACAATTCAAAAGCTACACTTATTCAGATTTTAGTATCTTTGTTTGAATCGGCAGAATAAATGGATGCATTGCTTGATGGTCTTGTCTATAGAAATATATACAGTCTCTATTTGTCTTATTTTTTCATATTGTTACATTACAAAAACAAAGGGATTTCTTACTTTAAAAAAATAAAGTGACTAATGAACCTACAGTCCACCGTAAGTGGCTATTGCAGCCTATGGACACCTGCACTAGACTTTATACAAAGAAGGCTATACGAGTAAATGCCTTGCTATGGTATGTGTACCTTATAGTGACGGTGTAAAATATTCACTACTCCATATTTAAAGACAGCAGCCTAATGACAGGGTGCGGACCGCGAACTATAAAGGTCGTGGGTTTGAATCTGCTCTTTGATCACTGTCATGAACCACTCCACATGCGTACCAGGAGTGATAAAAGGGAATGTAAATAATATTATAATAGCTTTGCCAGTATTTTTTTTAAATATCCTCCACACTCGTAAATGTTGTCACACTATACGTTAGAAGCGACAGAAGGAAACAAACCGAGAGATGGGCAAAAGCGTCTTCTTAATAAAAACGAGAAAAAAGTGTGCATGTCACAAGCGGTAGAAGTGAAATTTTCAAATAAATGAAATGTAAAATAAAAATATTTCACTTTAAAATATTTATTTATAACGATTTTTTTCTACGACAAGAGCGGCATAAAATATAAGATAAAGGTTTAATAACTTTAGATTGACTGAATAGGTACTTTAAATAGACGCTAGATGGCCTAAAATTAAAATTTTCATTTTCAAAAAAAAAGTAACCGTGTTTAAAGCACCGCATAAAGAGGAGTCGGAGATAATAAGAAATACTGTATTTAAAAATAATACTAGGAGTAGATTTAAAAAAAGGCAAATAAGACAGTAGTCTAGATGGATCGAACGAATTTTAACCAAAAACGTTTTGAGTTCGCGGTGTACACCGTATTCTATATCATTTTCTAGCAGGCTAAATCCTTTAGTTGTGTTGTAATGTTGGGGTTCCTGAATGAGTGTTATTCAAGGAAACAACCACATTAGTTACGTACTATTTAATGAATGCCTGGTAATAATCTAAAATAATGCATATAAGGTATAGTGCAAACTCAGCATACATACGGTTATAAAGTAGCGTACTCACTTACTAAACTAAAGGAGCATACATATTAGACTTACACTTCACCTCCCGAGGACATAGAAAAAAAAAAGAATTAGGTACATTCTTTTTTTTTTACTAGATATTTACTTGAAGTATCATCTTTTAAAATAATAGTGTTTAATAGACATAAGTTACTTATTACAAATAAAATGGTACATACGTTTATCCTTATTATTATACATTGCAATGTTATCTAAAATTAAATCTTACATTCAAATCTATTGACAAAAAGGCCTAGTCCTATTCTTATGTACTAATTCAAATTTATTATTTTTAATTATTTTTACATTACAACCTAAATCTTCCATAACTGTATAGGGACCTTTAAATATTGCATCTAATTTACTACGTGCTTCATTTTTTACCAAAACCAAATCATTTTTCTCATATTTTGCAGAATTGACAGACTTATCATATATTTCTTTCCGTTTATGCTTATTAATCAGCAAATTTTTCTTTGCATCTTCATGAGCTAATTGTAACCTGTATTTTAATTGTAATGGATAATTATCTATATTATACAATGGTTCTACGGTATTACTTATGCTATCGGGTATTTGACAAGGTTTTCCAAAAACAAGTTCATATGGCGTGTAATTTGTTTCTGAATGGACTGTGTTGTTAAAACTGAAGCACCAAAATGGTAACCAATAGCTCCATATATCCGTATGATTGTCACACTGGATCCTTAAAAATGCACCCAAAGTTTTGTGAGCATTTTCAAGAGCTCCAATCGACTGATGGTGATAGGCTGTAGAAGATAATTTTTCTATATTAAGTATTTTACAAACCTGTTCCATGGTTGCAGAAATAAATTCTGTTCCTCGATCTGTAGCTATTGTCGTCGGAATACCAAATCTTAATATGAACTGTCTAACAAATGCATCTGCAATGGACACTGTTTCTTTGTTTTGCAAAGGAATAGCTTGTACAAATTTTGTTAACTCGCATTGCATAGTCAATATATAACAATTACCATTTTCGTCTCCACTACAACTAAGTATATCTTTTCAAAAGCCGAGGAAGCTGTTGTGGTAATTTCCATCGGTTCTTTTATGTTACGAAAATATTTATGTTTCTGACATTTTGTACACTTTTTAACAAATTCCTGGACATCCTTGTCGATACTTGGCCAATAGTATCGACTTTTGATTGTATTTATCATTCTGCGCACTCCAGCATGACCGCTGGATGGCAGTAAATGAAAGTCATTCATAATAAGTGTCTTTTCGTTGTCGTCATCTATTCTTTTTACGCCTCGTAATATGCATATTCGCGGTCCGGACCAATTACTAAGTGTTGTTATTTCATCACAAACACTTTTGATAAATTCTATATTATCATTATTTTTAATTATACACACTTCAGTGATACGTATCTTTTCACAAAAATTGCTTAATTTCTGCACAAATTCGGCTCGCGAGAAATGCGCCTTGAAATCAAGATTAATGTATAGTGTCTTTTTACCCTCTATAAATGTAAAACATTCAAATTCTTCAGTTATCAAGGCATTATCTCTAATTTGTTTTAATTTGTTGCCTTCAATCAAACACATTTCTACTGAATCACACGGTTTTCTTAATATATCCACAACTCTTGGTTGATCAGGCCAATTGTTAATGGATTTATTAAGATCCTTCTTTTCATCGTCATTCTTACTCTTACTTAACTCATTCAGCTTTTTCTTTTGCGCTCTGGTCATTACAGCCATTACTTGTTCATTCATACTTTTAAGTTCATCAGACGTTATACAAACTCTCGATAAAGCATCTGCCACAACATTGTCTCTTCCTTTCACATAGACTATTTTAAACTTATATTCTTCTAAAGTTAATCGAAATTTAAGTAATCTACTTGACGGATCTTTCATACCAAAAAGATATATTAATGGTTTGTGATCTGTCATTATGGTGAATTTGTTTCCATACAAGTATGGTCTGAAATACTTAACGGACCACACTATTGCCAAAAGTTCTTTTTGAATAGTTGGGTAGTTTCTTTCTGCTTTATTCAAGGGTCTACTGGCATATGCAACTGGTCTGAGATCTTTATTACATAATACAGAACCAATAGCAGTACCCGAGGCGTCTGTTTGTAAAATAAATTCATGATTTTCGGAAAAATCGGGATACTGTAAAATTGGTGATGATATTAAAGCATTTCTTAAAAATTCAAAAGCGTTTTGACATTCATCAGACCAAATAAATGGTTCATTTTTCCTACTTAACTTATTCAAAGGTATTGCTATATCCGAAAAATTTCTTATAAATTTACGATAATAGTTGCAGAATGCTACAAACCGTTTTACTTCATCTGCATTTTTGGGAGTAGGATAATTTCGTAATACTTTTGTTTTTTCTGGATCTGGTAAAACACCTTTTTTTGTAACCAAATGTCCTAAATAAAGAATTTCTTTCTTTAAAAATTCACATTTCTGAGGATTTAGTTTTAAATTTACTTTTCTCAATCTCTCCATGACAGTTATTAAATTTTTGTTATGGGAAGACAGATTTCTTCCAAATACAATGAGATCGTCCTGACATACTAAACATTTATCGTAAGTTAAACCAGACATCGCTACAGACATCATACGACTAAAGGCATTAGGGCTGATCTTTAAACCCATTGGTAAACGCTTCATGCAATATTGACCAGTATTTGTAGTGAAAGCTGTTAATTTACGACTACTAGGCTCTAAACTTACTTGATAGTAACCTTGGTGAAGGTCAAGATGAGTAAAATAAATGGCTCCAGTAAGCGTATCTAAAATTTCATTAATATTTGGTAGAGGAAATTTGTCGTCACAAATAACCTCGTTCAGTTTTCTGTAATCTACAACTAAACGCCATTTTTTCTCATTACCTTTGCTACTTTTCTTAGGTACTAATAATATTGGACTGGACCATTCACTATTTGACTCTTCGATTATATCATTTTCTAACATATTCTCAACTTGCTTAGTTATTTCTGGTTTTAGTGCCTGTGGTAACCTATAAGGCTTGACGTAAACTGGAGTGGAGTTTTGTTTTAAAACAATAGATGGCTCATAAATATTAGTTGTCGTTAACTTATCTCCTTCCAAATGAAAAATGTCACAATATTTTGCACAAATTGCTTCAATTGATTGTTTCTCTTCTCCGTCTAAATAATTTAAATTTAATTCAGATAGCAAAGTTTTAACCCTTGTAACGTCAATATTGGTCTTATTAAATTGACAAATATTATAATTATACAAACTTTTCAAATCTGGTGTGAAAGATGGCAAGTTTACTTCCTTGTCACTAACATTAAGTATTTTAACTGGAATTCTACTATAACTAACTGTAGTTATTGCGTTTGCTATAAAGACATCCTTCGTTAACTCTTTACTGCATACTACTACTTCTCCAGTTACATCCTCACTCACAATAATAAAATGAATTGATTCCGAGCGTGCTGGAATAATCATAGAATTTTTCATCCTATCATGTTCATCAACAAAATGTAGATAATGTTGTTTATTACTGTTAAAAAGTGTTAAATTATTTGAACCTAAATCAATATTCGCACTAAATTTTTCTAAAAAGTCTAAGCCTATGATTCCGTCTGCTTTTAGTGGTAGCGAATCGAAAACAAGAATATTGTGCTGAAACGTGCCATTTTCGTATTTTAATATTAAATTTACAGAACCTTGAGATCGTCGCTGACCACCTATTCCATTTATTATAGTATTATCTCTATTAACAATGATATCTTTTGGCAGTACTTCATTTTTAATAATTAACAATGTTGCACCCGTATCAATAAGCCAATAGTATTGTTACGAGCTTGAGGTTCGTGACAATAAAATTTGCCGATAAAATTACCTAAATTAACACTTTAATTTACTTTACACAATTAAAGTTAAAACACTAATAATTTAAACACACTAATTCACTTAATTTCACTCCGAAGCTTCGCTTGTTTCGCCCAAATCAACACTGCTTCCATCGCATCTTGCAGCGCCTATATATTTAAATTAGCAAAGAAATATCCAGAATGTTCAAGTAAACACGCGGAAGGTACCGAGCGTTCGAGTTTCGACTAGGCGCTGTCAGTTGAGCGATTTGTGATGTCATTTTCTCAATGCTCCACTCGCTCTCGTTCCTGACACTAGATGGCGCTAGTTGACTTATTCATGCAACACTGCCCCCTCCTAAGACATGCTCGTCCCGAGCATTATCGGTCCCATAATAACGCGCCAAGCGATCCACATGGACGATCTTAGGAGTCCCTCTTGCGCCTTTCTGTATCCGGTAGGTCACATCGTTGATCCTGGTTACAATCCGGTACGGGCCGTCCCATTTAGCTTGAAGCTTAGGAGATTTCCCTTTGCTGCGGACTGGATTGTGCAACCACACAAGTGAACCTTCGTCGAACCATTTGTTGTTCATTTTGCGGTCATACCGGGTTTTCATCTTTTCAGACATTTGCTGGCCCGATTGTCTGACGTGCTCATAAACGTCATTCATTTTTTTCCGCAAGTCATTTGCATAATCGGTTATACTGCGTGGAGCATCGGGTGGTATCCCGGTGATCAGGTCTGCAGGCAGCCGTAATTCTCTTCCAAAGTTTGCGAAAGCTGGTGTCACTGCTGTACTTTCGTGAACAGAACTTCGATATGACAACAAAAACGGTTGTATGTGCTTGTCCCAATCTCGTTGCCGATTGTCTACAACTTTTGCTAGGTACATCTCCAATGTCTGATTAAATCGTTCCACCATTCCATCAGATTGCGGGTGATAAGAAGTCGTTCTTGTTTTATGAGTACCCATAACTCGGCAAGTTTCCTGGAATATTTGAGACTCAAAATTCCTTCCTTGATCGCTGTGAATCTCTAAAGGTACTCCAAAACGACAGAAGACTTCATGAACTAGTTTATCTGCAACTGTTGAAGCTTCTTGATTTGGAATGGCGAAGACTTCTGGCCACTTAGTGAAGTAATCCATCACAACCATGAAATACTTGTTACCGCTTTCACTCTCCGGAAACGGCCCCGCCACGTCAATGGCTATTCCTCCCATGGTGCACCAACATTGTACAACTTCAATGCACCTCTACTACGAGTCTGAGGTCCCTTTACAGCCGCACAACTTGTACATTTGCGACACCAGTCCTCGACATCGTTTCGACAGTGGACCCAGTAAAACCGTTCTCGGATCTTCAGTAGAGTTCGTTTAACTCCCAGATGGCCTCCTGAACAATCATTATGGTACAGCTGTAGAACATCCGGTACTTTAACTTTAGGGACAACCATTTGCAAATGACAGCTGTCTCCCCGAACGTTTTCCCATTTACGACACAGAACTCCATCCTGAAGCAGCAAGCTGTCCCACTGGGCCCAATAGCTTTTAGTGGTCGAACTCATCGCTGAGACGTCACTCCACTTGGGCTTGGGAGCACTGGCCTTTATCCATTCCAGAATCGGCTTGATGTCCGGATCTTCCTGCTGTGCATGTAGTAAGCTGTCCTTCCACTCGTTGCTGAGGTGGTCTGCCCTGAGCATCTTCACGGATACCACTTCCTTACTCTCTTGCCTAGTACAATGTTTGCAATCTTCAGGACAAGGTCTTCTTGACAATGCATCTGCGTTGCCATGAGATTTCCCGCTGCGATGTTCGATCTCAAAGTCGTATTCCTGCAGTAGTTCAATCCACCTCGCAACTTGTCCTTCTGGGTTTTTGAACTGCAATAGCCATTTTAGTGCAGCATGGTCAGTTCGTAAGTGAAATTTTCGTCCCAGAAGATATTTGCTAAAATGTTGCAACGACTTTACCACAGCTAGCAATTCGCGTCTTGTGACACAGTAGTTCCTTTCCGGTTTTGACAACGACTTGCTGAAGTACGCTATCACGACCTCTTGGTCACCATTACGTTGAGACAACACACCGCCAAGTCCTATATCACTTGCGTCTGTGTCAACTATAAATTCTTTGCTTGCATCAGGGTATCCCAAAATAGGTGTTTTGCACAGACGGTCCTTGAGCTCCTGGAATGCGATGTTACAACTTTCATCCCAGCAGAAATGTCGCTTCTCCTCGGTTAGCTTATGCAGAGGTTTGGCTATATCTGCAAAGTTCTTCACAAAACGTCGGTAATAGGAGCACAAACCCAAAAATGCTCTAACCTGCGTCTTGTCTTTTGGAACCGGCCAATCCTTTACAGCTGCGATTTTCTCTGGATCCGTTCGGATACCTTCTTCCGACACTACATACCCCAAAAAGTTGACTTGCCGTTTGAATAGTGAACATTTCTTCGGACTCAACTTAAGGTTGGCACTCTTAATCTTCATGAGCACGCGTTCCAGGTTTTGAAGGTGTTCCTCAAACGTACGGCCCACGATGATGATGTCATCCAAGTAGACCAGACAGGCATCGCCAATTAGCCCGGTAAGTACAAGTTCCATCAGCCTTTCAAACGTTGCTGGAGCATTGCACAACCCAAACGGCATTACTTTGAATTGCCACAGACCCTTTCCCGTCGAGAACGCAGTTTTCTCCTTGTCCTTAGGGTCAATTTCAACCTGCCAGTAGCCACTTTTTAGATCCAGCGTGCTAAACCATTTTACTCCTGTAAGCATGTCCAGCGTGTCATCAATTCTTGGCAAGGGATAGCTGTCCTTCTTTGTAACGTCGTTCACACGGCGGTAATCAACACAGAACCGCATGCTGCCATCCTTCTTCTTTACCAGTACCATGGGTGAACACCATGGACTAGATGAAGGTTCAATAACACCATCCCTCACCATTCCCTCAATCATGGTTTCCACTTCCTTTTCACGTGCTACCGGCAATCGTCTTGGCCGCTGACGGATAGGCAACTCTTCACCTGTGTTTATTTTGTCTTGAACTAAACCAGTCTTTCCTATGTCAGCATCGTTTGATGAGAATACATCGGCGTACTCGAGTAACAACTTCTTCGCCTTCACCAATTCGTTCGGGGAGAGAACACTGCGACAGTCTTCCAAAAGTGTGGTCATTCTCGTTTCTGAATCCTTGCTGGGGGTCCCACTCGATATATATTGGCACTGACGTAACCAATCCACTTCCTCACAAGTACCAACCAGTGTACCTTTTTCTATAACCTGTTCCCGGTCGCAAAGGTTCAGCACACGTACTCCTGAGATGTCAGTGGTCCTGACCAAGGTTCGAGCTACTTTCCATGGAAGGTCATTGTTTACCCTTTCCACAAGTACACAACGGTGAGCTTGCCCAGCGTTTCGTGGAAGACTAACCGGAACAATCGTTTCCGATCTCGGCGTAAGAACAATCTTCTTGATGCTGTACACGTTCCCTGGTAACGCACCTTCCATAAAAAGTTCCTCCTGTCCACATTTCAAAACACCTTGCTTAACGTCGATCTCACAACAATTATTCCTCATAAAGTCTAGGCCTAGGATGCAGTCGTCCATTATATCAGCCACGATGACATTATGCAGGTATATCACGTTGCCTAGCTTCAACTCCATCTCCTTCTCTCCACGGACGGGTATACGCTGACCGGTGGCTGTTACCAAATTAATGCGTTCTCGGTTGTATGCGGAGTCCCCAAGGAACTGGCTTATAAGTTGGGAACTAACAACCGTACGAGAGGCTCCAGTGTCTATGGTCAGTTTACACGGCATTCCGTTGACCTCGCCCTTGATGATTAGACTGTTCCCATCATGGGTTTGTGAGATCGAGATCCTTGGGGCTCTTTTAACATCAGCCAGCACCCGCCCCGTAGTTCTGGCTTTTACTCGTTTCCCTGCTGCTGCAGGGCGGTGCTGTTGGCCGCACTACCCTCCTGAGATCGTACACCTTCCCTTTCTAGGGTTCGCTTAGGGCAGCTGGATCGAAGATGGCCCTTTTCCCCACAGCCATAGCACCTAGGGCTGTATCCTCTGTTGCGGTCGCGAACTGTAGCTGCTGCAACCTCCCTGATGCGATGGGAACGATGATCCTGCCGCACGGCTTCCACCTCCAGTGCATGGGCCAAGGCGTTCTTAAGCGTGTCGTGGTGTCCGAGTCTCACAGCAGCTCTGACTTCAAGGTCGCGGATGCCGTCGATGAATGTCTGAACCAGGTTCCCTTCAATGAGCGCAGGTACAGACTGGTATGCTTTTCGAACCATCTTCTCCACCCCAAGGGCCCACTGCTGCAGGTTTTCGTTGCTGCGCTGCACGCGATCTTTAAGCTGCGCGCGAAAGACATGTTCCAGATGAGCGTCGCCATATCTCGCTTCCAAGGCCTCAAGAAGCTGCTCATAGGTCACTTTCTTACCGAGAGCTTCCAACACAGTTAAGGCTTGGTCGCGCAGGCCTAGGGTGAGTGCAGTCATGGCTTGGCTTTTATTCCAGCCGTTCGCCTCCATGACGGCCTCGAACTGGATTTTGTAGGCCGACCAGGAAGAGGTACCGTCGAACGGTGGCACCTTGAACCCACGTAGCGAAGGTGTTGTAGCTACTACGGGAGCTGTAGCTCCATCTCCAAGTTTGAGTTCGTCCAGTGATTTCTTCATGTCAGCCATTACGTTGTCAACCCGATTGTTCACTTGGTCGATTCGGGTTTCAGCTTTCGCGATTTGGGTTTCAGCTTCCGACAGGCGGTTGTCATGCTGAGCAACCCTATCCTTCACCTCCCTTATCTCTTTCCCGAAGGTAGCGTGAAGGTCCTTCATGAGAAGCATCTGCTCTTCCAACCGACGGGCCTGTTCCTCTTGTCGGCGGGCCTGTTCATCCTGTCCGCCCCGCAGCTGCTCTTCCAATCGGCGTGCCTGTTCCGCCTGCTGGCGAGCCTGTTCCTGCAGCATCACCATCAGAGCACCTAAGTCAGGTGCTGCAGATGTAGGAGCTACCGACGGGCCTGCAGCCGGTGGCTGGTCCTCCGACGTCTGCGGCGTTGCACCACCAAATCTTCGTTGGTCCGTCTCCTGCTGGCGTTGACTTCGGGTACGGACACCCTCCGTTTCCTCCTTAGGTAAAATCGGCATGATTTTATCCCACTTCTGACACCAATTGTTACGAGCTTGAGGTTCGTGACAATAAAAATTGCCGATAAAATTACCTAAATTAACACTTTAATTTACTTTACACAATTAAAGTTAAAACACTAATAATTTAAACACACTAATTCACTTAATTTCACTCCGAAGCTTCGCTTGTTTCGCCCAAATCAACACTGCTTCCATCGCATCTTGCAGCGCCTATATATTTAAATTAGCAAAGAAATATCCAGAATGTTCAAGTAAACACGCGGAAGGTACCGAGCGTTCGAGTTTCGACTAGGCGCTGTCAGTTGAGCGATTTGTGATGTCATTTTCTCAATGCTCCCCTCGCTCTCGTTCCTGACACTAGATGGCGCTAGTTGACTTATTCATGCAACAGTATTTAATGTTTTTAATATAAAAAGTAACATATTTCGCATCACCTTGTAATGATAATATAAAATGCTTAGGATCGAAAAAACTGATTCGATGTACCTGCATTGTCGTCTTTATCGCATTGATGAGTGTCAGCTACTTTTTCTACTGGAAATGAGTTTTGACCTCGTCCACGGTTCCTAACATATCTAGAACCTCTATTTCCTCGTTGATTATTATATGAAGGACGATAATTTGCTCTAGAATTTCCGCTAGAACCTTGTCCTTGATTGTAGTGGTTATTAAATTTATGCCCACGATGGTAATTGTTACCATATTGACTACGGTAAATTTCTCTTTGACCTTGAGAACGTCTAAATTTGTGTACCGAGTGGTGTCCATTTTTAGATGCATACAAAATGTTACCTGGTGGTTGGAAAGACGTGCACTCCTCGTCTTTTGCTGCTTGTATGGCATCCTTCAAGCTGCTGAAGCCGCGTGCTGAGATGATGGTGCTCATTTTTGCGCTACGCAGGCCATCTGAAAAACGTTTTATGGCAAAACTTTCATTGATTCGTTTTAAAATCGAGAATACTTCCTCTTTTCCATCTGCCTGAGTAATTGTCAACTCTGTAAATAACGTTTCTACCTCCGTACCATAATCCTCAATGGATCTCGAGCCTTGTTGAATATTCTGAAGCTTCGTCTGTATAGCCATAAATGATTTTTTGGGTAAAAGATATTTCCTCATATCATCAATTAATTCTTGGATAGTTTTGTATGAGTTTGCAATTCGTAATTTTGCATTTTCATTCAACCGACTTTTCAAAACAAAAGTAATTAATAATACTTTACCTGGGTTGTCCAGCATGTCAGCATACATCTCCACTGAGTTTATTAGGCGCTTAGTGGTGGCCTCTACACCGTCCATTACTGGAATCAAACTACACGCCACCTTTATGTCAAAATCCATTTTGCCTAAATCTACTGTAACGGGAAAAGTACACAATTTTTCTATTTCCTCGTACTTTTGTTTTATTTTCTGATAAAGATCTATTGCCGATTCCAAATTAATATCTTTACTTTTTTTCAATAATTAAATATATTTTACAACAGTTTTCATATGCGCTTTTTGCTTGATCTAATTTAGTTGAAATAACATTACCCTTATATCTAGTTTGTCCCTTTTTTTACTAAATAATTACGTATTTCTACTAAACAAACATAATTTTTTTCCAAAATATCAACCATAATATTCTTAATTTAATAATAGAATTGCACAAATGTAACACATTCTACATAAATGCGAAGGAAAAAAAAGTCCGACGTTGCATTTTGTTTCCGTTTGGTGTCTTATTACTGAATGTCCGCGCGCGGTTTTAGCACCTTTAGAATTATAGCGTTATGAAATGTGATACCGCATAACTGGCTCACTCACTGATATTTATTATTTTTACGAAAAAAATTAACAACCCACAACTCTTATTTTCACTTTCACTATGCATTCACTTCTAATTACTGATTTTTGTTACCTTCTGTGCGCCCTCTGATGGATGATCTGATTCTCTGCATGGTACTCATCCCAATTTCCTGCTGGATCCATGTGCGGTGGCAGCTCCTGTACATCCGCAGGCCCACATAAACTGCTACGAGTCCAATAATGGCCAGAACAATATAGGTCACAATGCTAAGCCGCTCCACGTGGCCTCCGATTTCTTTCAACGTGGCGTCATTGTTGCCTCCAGCCGCGTTTTGGCTGAGGAAAACCTCTTCTTTTTTCCACAGTTGACCGACACATTATAATATATTATTAAGTAGTTATGTTAAATATACTAAAACTAACAATCCCCTTGGCAGAGTCGTCCTGGCAGGGTCGCCATGTAATGTTGGGGTTCCTGAATGAGTGTTATTCAAGGAAACAACCACATTAGTTACGTACTATTTAATGAATGCCTGGTAATAATCTAAAATAATGCATATAAGGTATAGTGCAAACTCAGCATACATACGGTTATAAAGTAGCGTACTCACTTACTAAACTAAAGGAGCATACATATTAGACTTACACTTCAGTGTATACGTTTGTCGCTTTTAGTGTCGATTTTTCGTTTTGTTGAGTTTCAAACTACTCTAAAGAAATTTTCACTTCAAAAAATTGTGCTTGCCATAGCACATACTTTATTAGCAGCATAGGACTGAGATAGGCTGTATAGGTAAATGTAACGGTAATTTATGAACCAGAAATATTAATTTAAAACAAACTTAAAAATTAAATATAAAAGAAATTAAGAATATTTTAAGAATTTAATATAATGAATAGGCATTGATTAAAACTACTTTTACGGATTTTATCGCGTTTAATTTTACTTTTAATTATTTTTATTTTTAATTCCCGACCTTTCGGGTGCTTTCCAGCACCCATGGTCACGGGGAACTGAGGTGACTGACGCCCCGATGTCATTGTTATTATTGTTTATGGTCCGATCTATGCAAAATGAACTGATTATGTCCTGAGGTCTTGCAGTTATAGTTGCAGTTAAAAATAAAAATAATTAAAAGTAAAATTAAACGCGATAAAATCCGTAAAAGTAGTTTTAATAAATGTGTAGTGTTCGCGTAAATATAAGAAATTATTATGAATAAGTATTTTAAGAAATGCTAAGGCTCTTATAACTAAATGACAATAGACCTAGACAAGTATTATATGTACAATTATAAGGGGATAGTAAAGGATTTAAAGTATAGTAGAATATTTATTTTTATTGGCCCAACATCTTTTAAATTAAATTCAGGTTTCTTCACGTGTTTTTGTATCGAGTGCTTGAATAATGAAGCAAAGCAATTGACTGATTGATGCAAAATTTGTATGGTGCTGGCGTCCAAACAGACAGAGAGAGTTCGATACATAAAAGTAAGCAAAAAATCTTTGCATAACCAAGATCACTTAAGTAAATTGAGTAAAGGAACAACAAATGGCAAATATTGAGTCTCTCGTAACTTTCCGACAGCTGGCCTATTCATCACATACCATTGAAGTTTTTTTCTATGTTATCAGATCAGTTGCTTTTTTATGTACTAGAAATACTTCTTCCATTAATTTTCTTTTTTCACACAGTAAAAGTACTTTTTACAAATTACTTATATTGTTTATAATTTCCACCTGGTGGTAAAGGCTGATGAAACCCTTCGTGGTAAATTTCTTAGTTTTAGAGTAATAAAAGCTACTATTGCTCTGAAGATACACAAACTCGTAGATGGTAGATTACAAATGACAAATCGTGAAGC